TCTTACCCATTACCAAGATAGCTTCCCCAATTATCACCTCTAATACCATTAGCTCACAGACATCTAACTCTCCCCACCTCTAATATAATTAATTCACAGACACTTACCTTCCTTCCTTCCCCCCCCTCCCCCGCATCCCCCTCCTGTTCTGAAATGTGATTTGTCCTTTTCATATGTGTTCATTTTTTTTAATTGTATCCTTTGGTATATATGGTTGTGACTATTTTCTTCCACTACTTGATCTGAGGAAGTGGGTCTGGCCCACGAAAGCTCATCATCTAATAAACCATCTTGTTAGTCTTTAAAGTGCTACATAGTCCTGTATTTTATTTTTAAATGTGTGTTCTTTGAGATACCGATGATACTTTCTATAGAAGCCTATTTCATTTTTCCAACTAGTCAAGTGTAATAATTACTTGTATTGTTTATTTATTTGTTTATTTACGTGGTGTGCAAAATCTTTTTAAAAAAATAAAAACAAAGAAAACCAAAGCAGTTTTAGTGTTTGAAAACTCTAGTGATTCTTAAAGTGTGGTCCATGGACCACTAGTGGTCCACAACAGTCTTGCAGGTGGGCTATGGACTTGGGGCTTACTCCCCCTGCAACTGGGAGCTTGCACCAGCACTCCAGCCCCACGCCTCTCTGCGAGGTTGGAGAGTCAGTGCCTGCTTCACACTGCGGGGGAAAAAAGGGGAGCCTTTTAGACCAGATCTGGCTCACTATGAAGGAAGTGGCTTTACATGCTGCACTCTGGGAACATCAGCACAGAAAACAGTTTACCTGAAGGCTTTCCCCACTGCTCCCACTGGCCACAATCATGGCCAATGGGAACAGGGGGTGGTGGTACCTGGGAACAGTGGGAGGCATGAAGCCTGGTAAGTGGTCTCCCTTCCCCCTCATTCCCAGACCATGCACCCTCCCTTCCACCCAGACTCCCACACCTCTCAGCCCACTCCTGTACCCTTTCTCCCCTCAGCCTCTCCCATCCTCAGCCAGCTCCAGCACCCTCCTCCCCTTAGCTTCTCCCACCGAGCCCGCTCCTGCATCTTCCTCCCCTCAGCTTCTCCCACCCCAAGTCCATTCCTGAACCCTCCTTCCTCCTCAGCCCTCCCACTCCCACCAAGCTTCTGCATCCTACCTTCCACTCAGACCTTACCCCCCCACACACTCATTTTTGTCATCAGGGATGGTTGGCTGGTGGTCTGCAGAAAGGTCAGGATAGGCCACAGGCCAAAAAGTTTGAGAACCACTGTTTTAGTCCTTCAAAGGGACTACTCAAGTGCTTACATTTAGGGAGGATCAGCATATTCAAAAGCAAGAGCTTGATCCTCTTCCACTGAAGTTAATGATAAAACTGTCCCTGGCTACTATGGTGCGGGATCAGGTCCTATACATACACAACTTTTTTATTTTCTGGCCCTCCTAAAATATATAAATGGCTAGAACAATTTACACAAAAATAGTAAAAATAAACAAAGTATGTTTCTCACTGAGATGATGTATGGCAAACTCTAATCCACAGCTGATTGTTAGAGCAAGCTATAAACTCTTGGAATTGGTGAATGTTAGCTGAACTCAATATTAAGTACAATAGGACTGGCTTTACAGTCAAGGTTCACTTGCTTAGTTTTTGTTATTTTTGACAAATGTATTGAAAGGTATTTCTATTTTCAACACAAAATATAAACATCCCCTTTACAGTGTTGGAAACTAACAGAACAATATCATTGTGCATAAATATAAAAAAGTAGGCTTAACAAGAAACAAAAAATGAAACTAATCAGCTTACTTTTATTGTTCAAATTGGGAAAAGTGAAAAAAACATCTCAAATGGTGAAAAGCACATTAAATACTTAATTCTGCATTTGCACACTTGAGTAATTTTTCTCTCATAAGGTATCTTTGAAAGATTTACACTTGTCTAATTGATTATGGGACCGGGGCAAATAATTTAGAATTCTTTCATGTGAAATACTCTACATTCCTAATAGAATGTTTAATATATATTATTATCTTAAGTCTTCTTTTAACAATGGAAGTACTACTTTTGATCCTGAGCCTGTAACTGATCTGTGGCCCAGATCCAACTCCCATTAAAGTCAATGCAAAGATTCCCACTGAATTCGATAGGAGCAGAATTTAGCTCATTTTGGGCCAGATCCTAGAAGAGTTCAGTTCATGGCAGTCCCTTGAAGATAATGCCCAATGGGTTAATGCACAGGTTAGCGGTTACTACAAGGCTGAAATTCTGATGCTGCATTATTCTGGCATGTTTTATGATAGCGACATAATCCTTCAATGGAACTGTAGGTTAGTAATTACCATTAACTCATGCACTCTCATTTCTAGCTTACAGAAGGGGCCTACTCTTTCAGCCCATTACTTAAATAATACTGATATTTAGCATTTTCATAATGCTTTGTATGTTAAATCATTGTATAGACATTAGTTAATTATCTGACATGAGTCATCCTTATTTGTGCAGGTAGTTTCACCGAAGTCAGTATCATCACTTGCAGCATGCTAAGTATTACCATGTATATGTTTGCAAGATCAGTGGTTATATATTTTCAACATTTTATAGTCTTCATGATTTTAAGATATATGTCCCTGTTAAGATTATATTCAAGAGAGAATAATGTTTAAATATACAAATGGAATTAGGATTGTAAAGTGTCTGCACTTTCAGCTGTTGCACTTATGCAATGGAATCAAGATTATATAACACGAGTCTGATTACAGAAAAACATGGCTCTCATTACACAGTGCCTGGGTTCGATTACAGGACACTAATCTATCACAGATTAACAGACTACAATTGACAAGTATATATTATATTACTGTTAATATTATATAATTAACTTGCATTGCATAGTGCTCAGCTTTCAAATTTCCTTTTTATGACTATTTGCCTATTGAATTATTGGCAAGCATTTTAAGTGAGCATTTTTACTTTATCTCACAAATACATACCAATTTACATACATGACTTTTTCATCTTAAATACAGAAATGCAAACTACTGGCAGCTCTCTAATAAATTTTGGCCTGAACAAAGGTTTATTTCAACAGAAAAAGAAAAACTTTGCTGTGAAGAACCCATCCTACCTTTGCAACCAGAAAATAGAATTTTATTTGAGATATATTTTTGGTGATTCAAAGAAAAAGAATGTGAAATGTTACAGTGTGTTTAAAACTAATATTTAATTGATAAGCAATGTAAATATTGTATTTAAAATGTTTCATATTTAGCCATGTTATGAATAAACAAAAAAATTAAAACAAAATGATGCCATTAAACCTTCCTTAGGCACCTTTTAGTTTAGGGGTAGAAAAAAAACCACAGAAAAATATTACAGTTGTTTTAGAATTGGTTTGATAGATTTTAACAATACTTTTCAATCCTTAGTCAAACACAATGAGAAACATGACCACTGTAAAAAGAGTGAATAACAAATAATGGGATATAACAAAACAGATGGTACTGAGGTTTGATATACCATGAATATATTATACATTAAGTAAGTTTTTTTAATTGGTAGATATTTGTTTGAATCCCAAGGTGATCTATGGAAATTGACATCTTCAAGTGAAACAAAGCATACATTATGAACTGATTGAATATATGAGAAGCAGACCTAGAGCCTAACTGGAGGAGGAGGTGAGATCTGTGGAAATGTCTTTCCCAAAAGGGTCAGGCAAGGTTCAAGTAATCTAAATAAACACCTCCTTTACAGGCCAGTCTGCGAAGCTACTGATGTGCAGTTATTCACACAAACAATCCCATTAGTGAATGTGAATAAATCTGTAAAAATAAAGTAATTATTAAAATAAGACCCATCCAAAATATATCCAGTGAATGTATTCACCTTTGTTCGAAGGAAAGAACACCATTTTGCATTGTCTATTATTTTTAGAGGCTATGGACTGGTGTGTGTGTGAGCTAAGTGGGAAGACATTTCAAGGACACACAAAATGATCAAAAAAACCCTTACGTACACCTTACATAGAAACAGGCAACTTGCCCACTGCAGTGAATATAAAGGAATGGCTAAACATCTCACAAAAGTATTATTTATTATAAATATTTAATGAAAATTTCACTTCCAGTGTTCTAAGGGAGAAAGAGAAAAAACACAATAATATTTCTTTGCAGCTATATATTGCATCCTCTGTTGGGGAACTAGACATAGTCTGCTCTGGCTGCGTGACCCAAAATATCTTTTTCAGCGCTAGCCATTATGACCCTAATGTATAGAAACATTAGGTTTTTGTTTTTTGGACAATAAGATTTTAAAGCTGCACAGTAATGTTGGTAACTTAGCACTGGGCAGGAATTGCAGTCCTAGTGTAACTAATGTCAAAGGACGCAACCTGATTTTGACACACCAGGTGCTGAGGGAGTCCCAATAATTTCCTACTATTGCATGCAGTAGTTTATCTGTGCCATTCTTGGAGGGGGAAGGGGGGCAGGAAGAAGCCAGACAAAAGTCTGGAAGCAGCATTTCAAGGCAGCGTATTTTAACCACAGAGATTCTTGTCTAAAGCAGGAGGCCAGGATGTCTAGGGAGGCTTTAATTCAAGCTAGAACAAAGGTCACCTGAAATCGGGAGAATTTGCTGAAGACCAAGGGGGATGTCTCTTGGAGCATCTTTCACCGTGTATCTAGCAAATTAGGCCAGCGGCAGCACAAAGTATATAGGAAGGATACAGTCATTCCTGTCATCCCTCTCCAGCCTCCCTAGCCCTTACCATTGGGTATAACTGATAAGAGAAGCTCTCCTGGGCTCTGACCCACACGACTGGCTCCATCACCTGTGCAATAGGGAAGTGTGATTATCCCCATTCCCCTGAGGCACAGGGGACCCTTCACCTTGGTATCTTGGCATGGCCAAGGTCACAGAGGGAGCCACTGGCCCAGGAAGCAGAGCCTGGAGCCGGCAAGGACCTCCTTCCCAGCAGTCACCACACGGAAGCCCCGGGTCCCGCAGCCCCCTTACCTGCCCTTTCACCAGGCTGGCTGCGAACTGCCTCATGACCGCCTCCACCGTGTAGGCGCTGGACCAGCCGCGGGGGGTGAGCAGCTCCATGCAGATGGCCCCGCCGTCCAGCACGTAGCCGTTTTCCAGGCGGGGGCTGAGCACCCTCATGAAGGGCGGCGAGAAGGGGAAGTTGTCGGGGAAGGTGAGGTTGAGCAGGATGAACTCCGTGTTGGTCTCCTTCATGTCCTGCCACAGCACCGAGTCCTTGTCCACCTGGTGCAGCTTCACGTTCCAGTCGAAGAGGCTCTCGTCCACCAGCTCCACCGAGATGAAGCGGTCTTTTCCAGGCGGGGGCTGAGCACCCTCATGAAGGGCGGCGAGAAGGGGAAGTTGTCGGGGAAGGTGAGGTTGAGCAGGATGAACTCCGTGTTGGTCTCCTTCATGTCCTGCCACAGCACCGAGTCCTTGTCCACCTGGTGCAGCTTCACGTTCCAGTCGAAGAGGCTCTCGTCCACCAGCTCCACCGAGATGAAGCGGTCGCTCAGCC